GAAACACTCTGTGCTCTCTTTCTCTTCCACCTACCCATGTCTCCACTCCATTCTCTCTTTATCTTTCTCTCCGTCTTTGTGCTTCTTCTTTCCTACCCTCTCTCTTCGTTCGCTCACTCCTGACGTTGCTCTCCAGTCCTCGATTTTTGCCTCTCCCTTTCTTTCTCACTCGATTTCTGCCTCTCTCCCTCTCCCCCCTCTTCTTTCTCAGTGGCTTCAAGTCGCAACCCTCCCACTCGCTACTCTCGAACTCGGCTCACCAGGTAAGTTTTTTTTCCTTCTTTTAGTGTTTTGGTTTTGTTGGTTGGTTCTGTTTTTGATTAAATAGATAGATCCTTTCTGAAGGCTAGGGTTTTCGATTGAGAATCGCAAAACTGTGCTTCGATTGGCGATCGAACAACTGTCAAACTCACCGAGTTGGCTCCTCTGTTCCCTACCACCAACTTCACGACCACCACAGCCACCGTCATCATCATTAACTTGCTTGAATTCTACATCGACGCCGCTGTCTGCTCTTTCTCTCTTTACTTCAAACCCCCATGAGAGCTCTCCGGTACCGCTCTCTCCCCCCTCTCTTTCTAGATATATATATATACATATGCTTCAAGTTTTAGTTGGATAAATTGTTGTTTGTTGGTGGAATTGAGGTCTATAATGGTTTAAATTGAAGTTTTTGTTTATCATCATCTCTATTTCTGGTATATATATGTGTTAAGCTTTATTTTGTGGTTCATGGTTTATTGTTTGGTGGTTGCCTAATTAGAACTATGGCAGAAATTGCAAAGAAATTGTGAAATTGGGCATCACAACTTCTTCCTCTCTCTGTTTTTTTCTTTTTTTCTTTTTTTGGTTGTCTCTGTTCTTTGTGGTTGTGTCTGTTCAAACCCCAAAACAGAGGTACTTCAGTTCTAGATATATATATATCCTTCAAGTTTTAGTTGGATAAATTGTTGTTTGTTGGTGGAATTGAGGTTTATAATGGTTTAAATTGATGTTTTTGTTTATCATCATTTTTTTCTGGTATATATATATGTGTTAAGCTTTATTTTCTGGTTCATAGTTTATTGTTTGGTGGTTGCCTAATTAGAACTATGACATAAATTGCAAAGAAATTGTGAAATTGGGCATCGCAGTTTCTTCCTTTCTCTATTTTTTTTTTTTTTTTTTTTTTTTTTGTTTCTGTTCTTTGTGGTTGTGTCTGTTCAAACCCCAAAACAGAGGTACTTCAGTTCTTCAATTTTTTGCTTGTAGATTTGGTTCTATCTGTTAGATTTTTCTGGGTTTTGTTTTTACGCCTTTAATTTTTGGTCAACTGGTGATTATTAGGTTGAATTCCCACTCGCTACTCTCGAACTCGACTCGCAAGGTAAGTTTTTTTTCCTGTTTCAGTATTTTGGTATGTTGTGTTTGTTGATTCAAATAGGTTATTTTAGGGTTTTGTTGGCTGGTTCTGTTTTTGATTAAATAGACAGTTCCTTTCTGAAGAGTAGAATAAAATTTGTGGTTCATGGTTTTTTAGCATTGTTTGGTGGTTGCCTAATTAGAACTATGGCAAAAATTTCTTTCTTTCTCTGTTTTTCTTTTTCTTTTTCTTTTTCTTTTTCTTTTTTCTTTTTTTTCTCTGGCTATGTCTGTTCAAACCCCAAAACAGAGGTACTTCAGTTCTTTAGTTTTTTGCTTCCATATTTGGTTCTATCTGTTAGATTTTTCTAAGTTTTGTTTTTACGCCTTGAATTTCCCTTTTCTTTTCTATGTTGTAGGCTGAATTTCCTTCGGCTCCTTTCGAACTCGCACTCGCAAGGTAAGACTTCAAACTCCCTGTTCTGTTTTTCCCTTCCTCTACTCCTAATCGTTGTTTTTTGGATTTGTTGTTTACATTGTTGTTTGAATTCTGAGAAAGGGAAGGAGTTGTTTGGATTTGTTGATTACATTCTCCCATGGTTTTGTAGTTTATAGTGGATGTTCATTGACATCTGTTATCAAATCTGATTTTAGCGAAATTATATGGGCATCAAAATTATGTGAGTCCTTCATATTGGTTTGGAATTGTTTTGCTTCTGCTACTATGAAACATTATTTGGCCATTTTCGCCTCATCTTCTGCTACACTTAAATTTTGCTTCTAAGTAATTAACTAATTACAGTAGTGGTTTTGAATTGTAGAGGCAGTTTATATAGGCTTTTGCATAAACCTGGTGCAAGAGAAGTATTTGAATGTTGAATTCTTCATGCTTACACATGTAATGTATAGTGTTTTTCCTTTCCCTTTCTCTGTTGTAGGTTGAATTTCCTTCGGCTCCTTCGAACTCGCACTTGCAAGGTAAGACTTCAAACTTGCTGTTGTGTTTTTCCCTTTCTCTGCTCTTGATCGTTGTTGTTTGGATTTGTTGTTTACATTGTTGTTTGAATTCTGAGAAAATGAAGGAGTTGTTTGGATTTGTTGTTTACATTATCCATGGTTTTGTAGTTTACGGTGGTTGTTCATTGACATCTGTTATCAAATATGATTTTAGCAAAATTATATGGGCATCAAAATTATATGAGTCCTTCTTATTGGTTTGGAATTGTTTTGCTTCTGCGACTGTGAAACAGTATTTGGCCATTTTCGCCTTATCTTCTGCTACACTTAAATTTTGTTCTTGAATTCCCTCAAGCAGTGTTCTTTCCACAACAGCCTCATCTTCCCAGTCTTATTCCCACAACAGCCACATCTTTTGCAGGTAATTTTACTTTCAATATGGGTTTATATACTATTTGCAGATATAAAAAAAAACAAAAACAAAAACAAAACAAAAAAACAGAAAGCAGTGTGGGTTTGTAAGGTTTGTAATTTTGAATGTTTTCATCGATCATTGAATATTGTGTATGTCATGTTCTCTCATTTGTTAGTTTGTCACTTTTATGTGTTTAGAGCAGTGTGGGTTCGTAAGATTTGGGTTGGGAGATTATTGGGTTTGTGGGCATATGCATCATGACTGAGTTCTGCAGCAATGCCATTATATATGTGTTTGAATTGGGGTTTGAATTGCAGCAAGGTTATTTGTGTGTATCAAAAAATATATGTAACGCTGTAGCCCGACTTTTTCATACCCCTTTCAGAAGGCGAATAAGCCCTACAGTGTCGGACTCTTGTGGTTCTGAATTTTATTTCACATGTGCAATGTGAAACAATGAAAACACAAAAGAGTCCAAATTCGGCAATTCTTTTGGAAAATCGATGTTTTGAATCAAATGCCAAAAATGGACTGCTTTGTTTTGGGAAATTTAGGAAACCCGTGACTCGTGCCAAAGGCCACTTATCCGTTATCACCAACATGTCTCAACTCGTGCCAACTGACCACATTTGAAATAGGTAATGTCTCCCTAACCACCTCTCCCTGAACTTGAACTCGGTACTGGAAAGGTAGACCTCAAGCGTGCCCCCTGGGACTGCTGGGGTTTAGAACCCCTCTGCCTCTTACTGTCCCCCTGGCCATTATGACTCTTCCTGGAGCCCCTCATCCTCTCCTCCTTCGCATGCATTATGGTCTAAAGATGGGCTGCAACCTCCACAAGGAACCCATAGTCCCTAATCATGGATCTGGCCACTCTGAACATGAGTCCAGTCCGCAACCATTTCTCGAACTCCAAACATTGGCGCTCCTCAGTTGCCACTAACTCCGGTGCCAACCTCAACAAACTAGTGAAGGTGGCGTCAAACTCGACCACTGGTGTATTCAACTGCACCAACCTAGAGAATTGATCCCCCAACTTCTCCCTTACTGTAACAGGTAAGTACTTGTCTTGGAAAGCATCAACAAAGGCTTCCCAAGTCCCACCAATGCGTCCCTAGGCATATTTCCACCATTGACCCGCGTCCCTTTTCAGCTGGAATGACGCCAAGTTCACTCTCAAACCCTCGTCTTCAATGCCAAGCATCTCAAATGTCTTCGTCATCTGCTCCAACCACTCATCGGCCTTCAATGGCTCCTTGGGATCACCCAAAAACTCATTCGGATTTGACCGGAGGAACTCCCTCTTTAAAAACGATGGCCCTGTTTCAGCTACATAGGCCTAGACTTAATTCTCAGCTCTAAGAATGCCCATGGATTTCCTTAATGCTCCGGTCATTTCATGTGCTAAGGCACTCATGGCCCGTTGACCTACTAGTTCGGCCACGTTGGCCTGACCAACTACTTTCTCCTGCGTCGGAATCTCATCTTGTATAGGCATCTTGTGCCTCCTAGGCCTACCACGCCTACCACCACGACCTCGTCCTGACATCCTAACGAAGATAACAAGGAGATTAGCACATTTACAAATGTGCCGAAGCTAATTCACTCACGTCCTAATACGATGGACAACTATAATTCACTCCACATAAACACATAATCACGTAAACACATACGAATTTCATTTCCGGATGATGACCGTCCTGCGGTGCTACTAGAGTTCTAGTTAGAAACTGCAGTGATCAAGTGCCTTTCCAACAGGACTCCCAGAAACCCATGGACTTGGTCAACATCCTAGAAATTAAATCTCATACCCATATAATCACATAAGCATGTTATCATATAAGGACATATCATCCATACTTAAGTCTCTAACAAGCGAGATAAACCCATTGTGGTACTAACCACTTCCCACCTACCCAAAGTATTCAAACCGGGTACGCTCTCATACCAAGTTGTAACCCCCTAAAAAGGGATATATATATAAGCCACACACAAGATTCTATGAATATATTAAAAAGGTTATACATTCATCCATCATAGTTTATATTACAGAAGGTGTTATATGCATTACACTTTCATAAATGTTCATTCTGAAACTACAGCAAGTAACACTAATTGTTAACAACAAAACAAATGCCCTACGGGCTTACACCTTTCCAAGATATCTCTTGGTTACAACAAAAGAGTCCTAAACTCTATACAAGTAAAGCCCTCGGCTTTAATAAACACTTAATATGAACAGAAAAACAACAAAAATAGAGCCTTCAGTCCCAAGTCCTCCCAAGCTATGCCCTTGGAGGTGGCATGTCACTTGTACCCGAAAATGGTTTCCCAAGTAGGGTGAGCCAAAGCCCAATAGAGATATACTAACGCAATGTAAGAAATTTAACTAAGATATAAGCACTAGATAAATGTTCAATACTTAAAACCAACCGACACCTTTTCATGACCAATCAATAATGACATCAATATCTCATTCCATTTCCATTCATTTATTCTAATCAACTCACAGATATAGTTCCTTGTTGTCTAAACACCAAACGAGGCTACAACTCATTTGTTAACACTTCAATAGCAACCATTATTCAAACACTTCGATTTTTCTTGCCACTTTTCAGAATTCTCATCCGAGGGAATCGGCACCCATATATATAAGATTTCGAGACTTTCACCCTGGACACTCCAGCCAACTTAATTTGCAATGGAGTCCATCTCCTATCTCCTCCCACACCATGGAGTACATCCCCTATCTCCACCCAAACAATAATACATATACAATGTATTTAAGGACGTATCGTACACAATGACTACCAAATTCACATATTCAACAATTTAGTCAAACTGTCATATTCAATGACCTAATTCATATGATTAGTTTTAATTTACCTAATCCTCATGCAGTTTCTATAACAATCATAGCTATCTTCCATCGATAGCCCAAAACAGATATTTCTAAACAGATATACAATCTATTAAACAAATAATTTAACAAATTTCCATAGGTGAGTGATTTAACAAATCCAACTACACCATTAATCTATATACCCTTCCAATTTCATATTTTTCCATATCAATTTCATTATATATACAAGATGAATTATTCAACCCAAATTAGGGCAAATTTTCCATTTTCTCAAATGTCAACCCCAAGGCCAAATTTCCCATTTAATTACAAGAGAGCTAGGTATTCAAAGCCCCAAAGTCATTTTACAACCCAACATGGAAAACCCCTTTTTTAATTTGTACCCAAACCCTAGTTTACTTAAATCACTTTCAAATCCCACCATTTATACATAACATCAAATACCTAGGTTAAAAACCATACTAAAGTGTAGAATATCCCTACCTCAAGTGTAGAAGCTCAAAGGAGATGAATAAGAAAATCAAAAGTGCCCAAACTCAATTTTGCTCCGATCAAGAGGAAGCCCACAAGATGCTCTAACTCTTTATCAAAGGGAGTAGGGTGGAGAGACCCTTAGATCATGGAGTATTTGTAGAGAGAGAGTATTTTAGAGAGACAGAGACAGCCGATCTAGGGTTTTTAACAAAAATGGATTCAAAAAGTGATATAAAAATCCTCTGCTGTGAACTAATATATGCAACCCTCGCTCGAGCGAAAGAGTTGTCATTCGAGCGACCAGACACAACAAGTGACCTCGCTCGAGCGCAAGAAGCGTCGCTCGAGCGTAAAATGCAAAGCTTTAGAAGTATAACAGACGCACACACTCGCTCGAGTGCAAAAAGCCTCGCTCGAGCGTAGAATACATACCTTCAGGTGTAACACAAACGCACACCCTAGCTCGAGCGCAAGATGCCTCGCTCGAGCGAAGAACTTCATCTTCCTAGAAATGCTGCGTCTGGGAAGGAAACCTGAGAACCCTCAAAGCTCACTCGAGTGCAAGAAACCTCGCTCGAGCGCAAGAAGCCTCGCTCAAGCGAAGAAGCCAAAATCTGGGCAACAACAATCTAGACCAACTAACAACCAACCTGTTCCAAACTCGCCCAACAAGTTCCAAAACTCAAATGCAAAGAGTCAAAGGGGAAAAACAAGACTTGGATACAATATTCAACCACGGATCCCGAGTCCGGAACACAATGAAGGCTGGGGCAAAATCGGGGTCGCTATAACCTCCCTCCCTAAAGAATTTCGTCCCCAAAATTTTAGTATAAGTTTCAAAACCATGTTTACCAAGTTTTCAAATTGGTCACAATTCAATTCTCGTTACCATGACCCACCTACCGATCATTCCATCTCCTCACAAGGAAACAAATCCACAATATATATAGAGCCCAACATGTTTTACCAATATGCCTTTTTCTGAAATTTAACTAATTTCAATACATATATTCCATATCTCCAAAACATATTCAATGTTTATGATATATTTGCATTTCCAAAACTCAAACAACATATACAATGTTCAAATTATACTTGCATTTTCGAAACACATTTAACATACACAATGCTCTCATAATTCAAAACATATACAATGTTTTCATAGTTCATAAACAAAACTAAAATCTCAACATATACTCAAACATCAACAAATAAGTCCAGATATTTGTCTCGGACTTCCAATTCACGCTCCCAATTTGCT